AAAAACTGAAAAAGTTTCATGCAAAATTAGCGGCTATGGCCGGGCTTTCGATTCACTGATTTCTGCAGCATGGCACCTAATCTGAGCTCAATTTTGTTTCAACTCATTAAAAGTTGTCTTAAACAGCTGCAAAAATAAGTCAAATTCATACAATTTGATTGTAAAGTTAAGACAAAGCGCTCTTATCATATTAATATTAAAATCTGTATTACAAAGCACAATATTTTTAATTGAACAAATTTGTATTGTCTACCTATATTCTACACTATCTTATGTTAGCCATCTTTCAACCAGGATGTATGAAAAATAATAACTATCAACAGCCACATGTTTGTCCATCAGTTTTCAGTCAGGAACTCGAAGACGCACAGGATGTATGGAATATGACTCTTTGATGTGTGGCAGTTGTAATTAGTGATAATAGCAATTAAAACTGATAAAAGCTTGGTCCAACAAATGTTGGACTGTCTGCCCTGTATGTAATTTGATGGGTAGTTTTTAAAGCTCGAGTTCCGCTCCGGCTGCAAAGTTCGAGCGTTGACAGCTCGACGGCAAAGTGTCTCTCGGCTGCAGACATCGACTCTTAAAAGTGGTAAAAAGTTTTGCGGTGATAAGCGTCGTCCTTTCGGGCTGGTGGAGATGGAGCTGGTGGTGGTGGTATTTCTGAGGTCCCGACGCCGATGCCTTGTGGCAGCGCATAAAAGTATGCAACAGTTTTTAGCTTCCGCATTATGCCCAACTTGTTACTCAAGCCACAAGGAAGTCAAGTTTGCTGCTCCTGGCTGCCGCCATCGGTGTTGTGGCTCCGTATCAGTTCTCGTCTGAATAGACACGTTATCTATACACAATATGGCTTAAAGTGAGCTCGGCGAAGGCACGTTTGAATGATACTCCCCACCGACTGCACCCCAACCCCATGGAGCTTAACACAATGTCGGGCACTTCTTTTGTGTTTTTCAGTTCCCATTTTGTGTCTCTGCCGAAGACGTGCCATTGTGCTCACACAATATCTGGCAAAGCCATTTCCCATTTGTTCAGAAGTGCCTGAAACTTTCGGCCGCTTGAGCTTTGCCGGCAATTATCAACTGCCAAATTCCCACACTCACCTACTCGAATGCAAATTAATCAACCGAAATAAATCTAAATTAGAGCTCTTGACACCAGCACAACGCACCGAATTCAATTGAAATTTTCATTTCAACAAGTTGAAATAAGTTGGTCCTGGGCGGCCACAACAATGCAATATTTTATTGCCAAAGGGAAGTTTACCTGAACAGAAAATACAACTGGGAATGCATGCCTCTGTATTTCGTAACACATAAATTTGATTTGTTCGACAAGCCTACAACGAAAATAGTAGATGCTACACATTAAAAAAAAATGTACTTATTCCTAAAAAAATTAATTATTTAAGTGTAGTTTATTTGGTAAACTTTACTAAAGTAGTCCTTATTCGATGTTTTTGAGATACTAAGGTCCATTTTTAAAATATTTAATTCTATAGACCAAATTCTACCTTATACATTTATTTTCTTTTACAAATTACTTTACTTAGTATTTTACTGTGCACGATAAAAGCTACTGTTGGCAAACTCTGCAGCAAAGTTCAAGTTTTGCATTGCACTTTATATCATTGCATGACACGCAGATCGACATAAATAATTCATGCTTGATAAATTAAACAATATACTAAGCAGCCATTTGTTATGCATAAAGTATGCGCCATGTGCGCCAGACTGTGGCACACCCACACCGTTACACCCACACCCACACGGAGACAAAATGGCGGAGGCTGTCGTTGCAACAAGCGACAATTGCAACGCCTGTAAAGCCCGAAAGAGCGGAAACGGAAACGTGCATAGTGCATGCTATTTGCACAAATGTGCGCAGGGGCGGGGGGAATCGTCTGGGCCGCCACTGCCACTACCACCATTATGTATTGTGTCTGCTAGGTAGTTGTTATTGTGAAGAGCATTTATTTATGGCTACTTGGAAGTAGTTGCGCCCTCGAGGTTCAGGGCCCTCCTCAGCTTGTATCTTTGGTCAACAGAATAAGAAGTTGATTTGGGCAAAAAAATAAAAATTAACTTAAATAATAAAAGTTACCTACACTAATTAAAAGAACGGAACAGGTGAAATAAGGAACGAGATTATAACATATTTAACTACTTGAATTAAGTGGTTTAAAAGGAATTGTTTTTTATCAAGTAAGTTTGCCTTAAATTAATTCAATTCGATTTTTCTCGATGTTCACTTTTAATGTTCATGTATCTAAAATATTTACCCATGAAAACCCTTAAAAAAAATCCATTTTTTTTCAATTTAAACCCAGTTTTTCGCCTTTAGCAGTGAATGGAATAATAGGTAACCGTTTTAAAACCCGTCCGAACCTCAACACATACCATTTAAATGCAATAGTAATCCCCCGGCTAACGACATTCCCAACTAACCTTGACAATTACTCATAATCACTGCTGGTTGCACTAACCTTTGCCCCAGGGGCGACTGCTGCTTGCCACAGTGCAAACACAACAGTAATTATGCAATGAATAAAAGCCACATTCACCGTTGCATCCTGGCAGAGGGATGTGGCGAGGTCCCTAAATGGCGCTTGTCGTGTGTGCCGTTCTTTTCAAATGCCTAGGCGCCAGATACTGTAATTGCAATGGAAATTATGGTGTTATGGTCTCACCACCCTTCAGAACTACCAATTGGAGAATGAACAATTTTTTGAAATAACCAAGCTAAAATATTATTTAAAAAATATTATTAACCCACTTAAAAAATATTGGTAAAGAAGAAAAAATATTGATTTAATCATGCGTGCTGATGTATATTAAACTTAACAACAATGATTTAATCAAAAACTGTAGTATTTTTTCATTTAAGTCCTTTGTGAATGACATACAAAATTGTACAATGTTCAGTGTACCTATTTATTGAATTACTTTTAAATTAGCAATTCACTTTCATATATTCAAAATATATTTGTTAAAAACTAACAAAATAGCTAGATTTCGATATAAAATAGCCGAGTGAAGTGCACTGGTTAGTCCGTATACGTAATTACGTATACGTCATGTGTTACATGGCGGCATAATTTAAGTTGAAATGTCTGCCAAAGCTCGGTAGTATTTCGGTGAAAGGCGCAAGGCGAAAGGGAACAAAGTAGCGCTCGTGACGAGCAATTTACTAGCGTTTTGTTGTTCAGCAGGCGGAAGATTTTAATGATGCCACCAGAGGCAGGAGTCGCCGGCATTTGGCGTTTCCTGCAGCCATTGCTGATTTAAATTAATTACTACTAAATATTTGCTCTGGCTGCAGTCGGCGATCGCAGACGCCGCTAAAATCGACCAGAACGGCACAGACTAGAGCCGAAAGTTGTCTGGAAATCGATACACGTAACTCCGGGCTAGCGTCATAACGCCAGACGCCCCGAGAACAAGGCAAACAAAATTAATTTAATTTGCACACAGTGCTGGCTTTCGTGAGCGTGTCTGTGTGCCAGTGGCTGGGATTACGTTCCATGGAATTTAATGCAATTTAAAACGCATCAATTTTCTGTGTTGCTGCAGCGGACACTGCCATGTCCTGGCAAAGGCGGAGAATGAAAATATCCCCACGAGCACACATTCTGCCGGCAAATGCCATTTAAGCTGCAATAATAAAGCTGAATCACAGGATGCATCTGCATCCGCTTGCTTTCGATGCCCGTGTCGCTTTCTCCTCATAGCCGTGGCATTAACTTCTGACGCTTGGCTTTCGCATATACGCATATCCTTACGGATTTCTCGGCACTCGCTTAATTAATGATAAATATTGCTTCGAGCCAAGCCACGCAATACCCCACGGAGCTGTCATCGACTGCTCGTCCCGACAAAAGCCGGATAACAACTCAATTGGGCTGCTAACCCAATCCCCGGAATATTCGGTTGACCGGGGTTCATTAGCCAAAGTGTTCGGTTCGGCTCTTTGGAATCTTCTCAGGTATAAGCTCTTTAAATTTCGACTTTAAAGCTGCTTACTCTCAGCCATAGTTTGTCTGGACTCCCAACTGCCTCTGGAATGTTTTGTTTCAGCTGGCAGGACGCTCCGGGACTTTGCTGCGATGTTGCATGCAACAACTTTGACTTGGCCGGAGAGTTCATAAAATATTTCCGTGTTTTTTCCAAGTTGCAAAGCGAGTCTGAGGAAAATGGCTTAGCAGCAAACTATCTTGAAAGTTTCTTTCTGTCGAATAATAGCAATAATTATACACAATTTTCGTAGGATAGACCCAAGTCATAAAATATAATATAAATTGCGATAATCTTTTTTATTGGAAAAGTTAAAACTATGATGTGAAAATTTATATACAAAAATACAAATTATTTTAAATTAAATGGCATCCAAATAAAAAATTCTGGGAAATAACAATAAAATGTTGGAATATTATACATAGTTGAATTTGCTATAAAATGTCCAATCCTTTGGTATTCATTTCTGAAGAATTTCATCGTCGGCCAATTTTTACCAAATTTTATAATGTAACCCATTATAAAAAAAAGACCTTTCTTTTAAATAAACATGAAACTGATAGAAAAGTCCTCAGCTGCACAAAACAGACATTATTTTAATTTTTGGCTAAAATCGAACAAAAACCATAAAAAAATGGTAAAAATACCTATAAAATAAACTTAGTTTTCGGCTTTTTGATCAAAACGCTGGTAAATATTGGTCAAATGTTAGAATGTCATACCTCGTTGAATTCGTTAACAAATTTATCATTTATCAACCATGTCACTTAAGATTTTATGGCGTTAAAGGCGGGGCTAAATTTTGAAACAGACTTGAGCTGCGTAGGCATAGCTGCATGGTAAATCGTAAAGTTTTTAATATCTCTATGGTCATAAAAATTATAGAAACGCTTCCTTAAATAAATTACAATATCACCTGTTACATACTTTTCGCCTTAACTCTACAGTCACGGATATAAAAACCACTTGGTAATTCTCAACCTATTAATAGTTACAGAAATTTATTGCGGCCTTGCCGAGTTTGTCCCGACATCGATTTAGTATTATCTTGGCCTCCCGTAAACAACGAAGTAAATCAAACAATTCAAAAAATTCAATACAGCAAAATCTTAGGTCAGTGAGACCATGCCCCAGAGGAGGCACATCAGGATGGCGCAGCCCAGTTGGAAGCCCTTGAGGAAGCGGAGCTGAGTGCCCACCCGCGGATGCTGAACGGGCAGACGAGACACCACGGAGAAGAGATCCCGCTCCCGGGTCAGTTCCTGCAGGGCCAGTTGGCCACGGCGCACCTCGGTGGGCTCGTTGACCATGAACCAGCCCGGATACTGCTGGTCGCAGAGATACAGGCCCGTGGGCCGGGGCACCGAACCCGGCTGGGCCAGGAAGTTATCGTCATTGGGGTTGGCATTGGGTCCTTCGCCGTGGAAGGGCACGATATCCTCGTGCAGGATCAAACGGTGATGACAGCGAGGGCACTTCGGATAGAAATTATCACTAAGGCGGGGCCACAAGCAGGTCCAGCAAAATAGGTGACCGCAGATGGTGATCACACCTTCGCGCACAAGGTTTCGGCACTCATTGCACACATAGGGCAGCAGGAATCTATTCCTGCGATGACGACGAGCGTTAATTCGAGCTGCCATAAAGTCATCATAGCTGTCTTCGTTAACTGCGCCATCGATCGATCGGTGGCTCAAATTCATCAGACTGCGCAGTCCCAAGTCGGAAACATTTACTTGGGAACCCCTCGAAATATGTTTAACCACTTTCTGCTCCACTTCTAAAATTTAAGATAAATAATTTGTATAAACAATTACTCCCCGATCTTCCACCATTAATACCGTGATCTGGAACCTCATTGTGTTGAAATTCTGCTGCTGCACTAGTGTCTCCATGGCCTTGGTTCTCACTGCCATTTTCGTCTTTATTCATTTTGCGTTGATTAGGAATTGTATTTTTTAAAGCAACACTCTCCATTTATCCTTGAATTTATCGAACATTAAAAACAAATCTCAGTGACTGACTGATAACTGATTATGACAGAGATTTCTTTGCAAACCTTACATCAACTTAGAATTATTTCCAGAGGTTCCTTAGTTATTTTTTTCGATCGATAGAGTCTGGCAAACTAAAATAAACTAAATTAATTAACAGAGTGATTTTATCTTTTCCTATGGTTGATCCAATCCAACAATTTTTATCAATGACTTTTTGCTATGACTTAAACATACCTAACAGTGTTGCAATAACAAAGTTTAAGCTTAAATTTTAATGTTCTCTTCAATAAATTAATCTTAAATCAAAGTCATATGGCAAGACATTTTCAGTGATTGACACTTTCTGGTAAAATGATTGATGACACTATTCCGTCGTAGTTTATGCCTGATTTCGTTGGGTGCAGCAGCAGTTGGGTGAGAAGAATTAAATTTAGCCCTGCACTTGGCTTAATGCCAACGGCAATTAGACGTAAGCTGTTGCAACCCGCCCAGAATAGTGAAATAGCGACAATTTACCGAAAAAAACTGGAGAAATTCGAAATTCGGAGCAAGCGCGTTCATTCGCCAGATGTCGGACATATGGCGGCATAATTTATGCGAACATTGAACCGGATAGCGAGTGGAAACTTTGCGGTCCGGTGCTGCTGCATTTAAATTCTGACAATTGTTTGCATTGTCCTGGCAGCACGTCTGCGGCATTGTTTAATCCCGATTTTTCGACATCGATGGGGGCCGATGGCTGCTTGTTAATTGACCCACATTTGTGATCGGAGTACATAATTAAAAGAAAATAAAGCGCGAGCCGAACCAAATAAACCCACAGACAGGCGTTCGCACACTTGACAATGATAATAATAATAAAAGTGAAGCTTCACAGCGGAATAACATGCTTGTTCACTATTAAATAAATTATGATTAAGTGTTGATGGAGATGTAAAATACCCTGTATGGCTTTAAAATGTGTCGTAGTTTTTGTAGTAAAATACTTAATAAAAGGCTTTATAAAATACCATAAGAAAAGGTTTGTATTAAACGTATATATTGCAATTGGTTAGGAGAAATAAACTTGCTCTTAAACTGGTGGACTCACCAGGTCACATTTAATTTGGCCAGTAACTTGACAACTAAGGGGGAAATAATGCATATTAATTGCGACTTTTTCACGTTTTACCAACTGCCGACATTTATCAGGCATTAATAATTACGTGTTAATACGTGAAATATGATTAAATTTTTATCAGTTTACATGAATCACTTTCGCACGTTTGCGTGCGAACAAGGCCATTTTATTGGCTTCATTTGGCGACGGACCGCAGAGGAACTGACGTTTGCCCAATCGGAATTACAATCGCAATGCCTGTGGTTCTGCGTCATTTGGCATCCTATATCCCTGTCCACAAAGCGAAGCCTTTGCCTTTGCCTTTACTATGGCTATTTGCATTGGGGGCGTAATACACTGCGTATACGCGTTGGCGACTGCGTTGCGTATACGCAATAAAAAGTGGTAAAGGCAAGAGATGGCCAAAGCGAATGGGACAACCGCCTGCGCTGGCCATTAAATGCAACAATAAATTCGGCAGTTCAGTTTCCGTCGACTCCGTTGGCATGCCCGAAATTTAATTAGTTGGCATTTAACATTAAGCATTTCCACTGGCGCCGCGGCTGTCACTCTGCTTTGTTTTCGTTTTGCTTTTTATGTTATTTTTCAGTTAATTAAACGCACGCCAACATTTCGCCATTCTAAATTGTGCGCAATTAAATTTGGAATTACTTTTAACTGAGTATTCTGCGTTGCTTTTGGCAGCGGCGCGGCAATAACTTAACTGGAAATTTTATTGTAAGCCCCTGCCTTGCCAACTGTCACTTTTGATGGGCACCCATTGGAGCGTAATTAGGCTACTACGCACACCCCTTACAAACCATGCCGAAAGTCCATTTCCCAGAAGTCCTTCTTGAAAAGCTAACTTTAACTTTTACGCTTGGCAAGTTGCTGCTGCCAAGCCTTTAAGTTGTTGTTTAACTTCGTTTGTCTGCCGCTGAAAATTGCACTGTCTGCCGGTTTCATTATGCAAAATGCAATAGTACACACGACGAAGTGAAGAGGCTGCTTGTCTTCCTTATGAGTTTCACTGCTCAGACTTACCCTGGGCGGATTGCTTTTTTCGGGCTCAGAAGGTGCCCAAGCACTCACACATCAACTGCATCCGTCTGATGGCATTTTCCATACTCTTCAAGGAAGAAGTAGTCACAATTTTGTACCTATCCCGTACGAATAATACTAAGAAAAAAGAAAACCTTTTAAATATATATATGTGTTCAACTGATAATCTCTAGAATTTTATTTAGTAATTTACATAAAATTTGTTACATAAAGTATATAAAGTATTTAACAAGTTTTCGAACGAAAAGAGCCTGCAGAGTGCGACTTGAAAATCAATGGAAGAGGTCCTTTTATATATTTTTTTATATCACCTGCGAAGAAAGCACCCAGGCAGAATCTGTGTGTCATGGGTGAAAATAAAAAGGAGGTGAGCAGTTCGTGTTTGTCTGGGCCAAACGACGTACGAGTATAATATTTATATTATTGCAACTGCGGCGCCACATTGCAGCGACATGAAATGTTTGGCGTTGCATGAAAACCAAACTTAATGTGCCCTCCCACGACGGTGAGCTTATTACTTCTGCGACTCGATATTCTGCAGTTTATCCTCGAGATTGTGCTGTTTGCGTTTCCGGAAGATGGTTAGTATGATCAGCACCATGATGAGGAACAGCAGCAGAATGGAGATGACCGACAGAGCCAAACTGACCGCCTTTGAGGCCTCCGCAAAGCTGCTGAACAGTAGGTGGAGATCCATGGATTCCTCTAGATTGCTGAAGGCCACGCCTTCTGAGAAGTAAAAGGCGGAGACGCAGTTGCAGAGCACCATCAACAAGAGCATGGCCACCAGCTGCAGGAAGGGGATAATTAAGCACTGGACAGAAGACGCACTCCTCCGCCGAGAAGTCCACCCACCACCACTCGCATGTGCATGCGAGTCCTGGAGTAATTCGAGTGGTACAACCAGGTGCTCAGGGCGTAAATCACGCAGATATAGGCGGTTCCCACGCAGACCACTTGCTGGCCCAGCTGCTCATAACTGGCATGGAGGGGTAGGATGTTCGCAAATAGCGACGCGTTCAGCACACAGATGATCTGCGGGCGCAGGGGAGTTCACAAGGTCAGATTATCGTGCTCACGTGCTACTAACCGCCGTGAGGAGGAGCAATAACGAGACGATTTCCTTTCGGGAGAGAAACATAATGGACCTCAAACTGGTAATTTTAAAATACGGCAGCCGTAACAGTATATGATGTTTGACTCAATGAACGCCAAGTGTGTTTCTCAACTTTATTTTATTGTGGTATCATTTTTGGAAAAATCAATCACATAAAAAAACGAGTTGAAGCAGTATCAATATAAAACGAATATAAAAAGATGCTAAGTTTTGCTTATGGCCTTTTTTTGTAAAAACTACCACATAAACAATTTTTCAGGCGAAAAAGTAAATTTAGTAAAGAGCACCACTCAATAAAAAAAAATTAAAACAATGATATACTCTATTTAAATCAAACAAAATTCGCAACTATTGAATCTTGAATTCTAAGTAATAATTATTCGAAACTATTGTTAATAATTAGAATCTTGAATTCTAAGAAATATTTTTTTGTATTCATAAAATTAATTGTTTCTAAAATCGAGTTCAAAGTTGGTGACAATGTAATAACTTACGGGTAATAACTCAAAGAAGTTACACTTGATAATTTTATAAAATTTAAAAATATTTATTTGGTTCATAATAAGTTATTGCCGCACGTAATTTATTCCTAAGCTATTTCTTGTGCGATAATGGGATGATAATAAAACAAATGTCTGCTAGACACAAATACCCTTTTAACCGATTGCCACACCTTGTTGCTTTAGCTCCGGCTCCTTTGGAGCAAGGTCGTGGTGGTGTCTTCCTAGATTGCCGGCCTATTTGATGAGTGCAAAATCATTCAGAACAAATTGAAATTTGCACCCATCGGAGTAAGCTTATCTCCGCAGCACAGGCACTTGCAATGCCCCCCGTTCCAGCCAAAAGGGAGCGGCAGGCAGCCGGCGCTAATTCATCAACAGTAAAGGCAATTTAGATACTCATCTAGCCGGATATCGACAGCCAGGCAGCCAGGCAGCCGGCAGGAGGCAGCCATGTAAGCAGATACCCTCGTCCTGTTCCAAGGACTCAACCCATCCCTTTCTGCGGCTGCGAGCATAGCGAAGCGTCCTGCAGACAGGGTTTCATAAAATATTGATGGACGTGAAGTTGGCAGCGCATACTCGCATCCTGTTCCGTGTCTGTCGCAGCCATAAATAATTTGCTGTAAATGCAATCGAGGGGTTACATGGGGCATGGAGTTCCGTGGTTCGAAGTGGGTGGTTCTCGGCGGGGGTTGGAGGTCGTCCGGTGGTTGGGGGCAGTACGATGCTAATGGCAAGGCGCCCGGTGCGAAAGTGTTTCGTATGAATTATTCGCCGGCAGCCAATTTGGAGTCACGTTTGCCGGCACAATTGAAACTGAACACCGACCATCGAACCACCGTCCATAATGCTGGTTCAGTGTTGGCGATTGTTGGTTACATAAGGTAGCTGAATCAGGAATTAAAATGAAATTCTAAGGTTTTTTATCACAAATAAGACAACAATTTAAAGCTAACTTTTAAATTATTAAAAAAATTAATATGTATATAATAAATATGTTATAATGCCAACTAATAAACTTATCCATTTGTCTAGTTAAACTAATTATTTCGCAGGGGACAAAATATTAAACAGAATTGGCTTACACTTAATGAACCATAGACATTTTAAATATCTTAAATAATAATACCATTTTAAACACTTAAAAGTAAATGTAATACATATTCATACATTGTTTAACCTATTCTAAATTATTTATTAAATTAATTATAAGCATTTTTCCCAATTACCTGTGTAAAATAAGTCTTGAAAATATGAGCTAAGTTGGTGGCAATAGTAACAGATTATGTATTAAAGAAAGTAGCTCTAATTTAGCTGGAATAAAGCCGGCAACACTGTGCTCCTGCCCAGAACCGCCTGTCGAAATGGCGTAATTTGTTACGTCTGCCACTGTAGCCGAGCATGTCTATCTTCGGGCCGGGCTGCTTTTTAATAGCCATTCTCCCGCTGGCCGACTGTTGCTCGGCGGTTGTTGTGCCTTTATCGCCGGACCGCCCCGACCACCTCCTCCTCCTCCGGGAGGGTAATGTGTATTTAATGACGCCATCTCATGTACAATGCCCGTATCCGTGCGCCCGTGATCCTGCCCTTGTCCACGGGCAACGGCACCGGTTGTCCTCCAGCGCCTAATGTCCAGCGACCGCAGCCATCTGCAGGATAATGCCCCGACTCCCGGTCGACGGGTGCCAATAAAGCTGCGCCTGTTGGCAAGCATTTCAATTTCGTGCCAGCCCCTGCCTTTTTTCAATATTTTTTAAAACGCCGGCCATAAAACGTGAGCGGTAATGTGCGGACAAGGCAGTTTAATTGCACCCCTGCCCTCGGGGCAATCAGCTGCTGCTTGTCTCAGATTATGACGGAATAGCCGCCGGTGTGTTTAGACAATAATTGAATTTAGGTCTGTTTGCCAAACAACTGCAATTGGAAGCTAAGCCTTTAAATACACTGGAAAACTACTACTGATATTAAAGGTAATAGAATGTACAAGAAGTTAAAATATTTACGCTTTCATAGTTTTCTTTCAATTAATTACTTTAAAATATTCCTAATTAAAATAAATGGACATACCTAAATAATTTGGATAAAATGTTTTATTTAGCATATTTTTATTTATTTTAATTAACACTAAATTGAATACCCAAATTTATCTATGCGACCCATAAAGCTTTATTAAAATTAACAAATTTCAACAGTCTCTGCAACTATTTTTCAGCGCACATCTCCTTTTATCTTACAAGAGCATATGCACTAAGCCGACTTAAATTAATTAACTCGTTACACTTACCTTGGCGATCCAATAAGAAGATTCCGATGGCTGTTGTTGCAGTAATAATAATTCTCTTAAGAGGGGTTAATAAGTGCCCTGCGTGTTCAAATGCTTAGCTGAATGGCACTTCCTCTCAAACAATTGCACCTAATTGCAGACACTTCAGCTTAGTTGCACATCCATGGCCATCCCCCCGGAAACCAACCCTCCGATATAGGGCTTATATATACAATGTATACCACCCACAATGCAATCTCTACCCTTGTTCAATACATTTCCCATTCAGCTGGTAGTGCAGCAAAGAGAATATGATAAGAAGCAAGGGAGAATTTGCATAAAGCTTTTAACCTAACGACGCGACATTTGCTTTTTATGTGATTCATGGTCTTTCCCACTCATTTTTATTTTTTATTCAGCCCCGAGTGCAACAACACAGTCCTGCGAAGCAACTTTTGCACAATTATTCAGCAATTTTAAGCACAACAATCGCTTTCGATGACCGACGGCAGGAAGAGGCACTCTCCAGATCTGGTTGCATGGCTGACTGCCTTCGGGCCGAAAACCAGGTTCCTTCAATTCCGACATCGACTTGGTCGCTTAAGCAGATTGAAACAATCTCCGGGGTGGGTAAGAGCTTCCAGCTGACTAGGGGTTTTCTTTGGCTTTTAACTTTCGCCCCGTCTGCCATTATTATTATTCTCCGGCGTCTGCCTGCAACTGTCAGTTGGGTAATTTATAATGAAGTTTCCTTATTGACAGTGGCTGCCGCGGCAGCTCCAGCTCCAGCTCCTCCTTCTCCTCCGAATTCCTGGCCTCCGATTCGCACTTCCGATGCAGTGATTCTCCTGCAGCTCGGCATAAATTATGGATCCCGGTATATATAATATATCGCCATAAATTGCTTGTCAAGTCGCGGGCCGACAGGCAGCTAACTAACTAAGATGCCGGCAAAACAAATAACAATCAAAATCACTTTTCGACCCCAAGTCGATTTATATGGGAAAATCTCGAGGCCGCCTTGGGCCTTAATCGCTGAGGCCAGCCGCATCATGAGATCGTCAATCGTTTTGATTTATTGCTATTTTATTTGCGCATATCCTTATTTGCCTGGGCCGCAAACTTCGAACCCCAATCTCGGGCGAGGCTATTTTATTGTTCGATAGCTTATCAGGCCAAGCAAACAGGCCGAGCGCCTTGGAGGATGGCAAATATCATAATTTTCGCAGGACACGCTGGCTTGTGTTTGCTTTCTTCCTGTCACAATGCCGTGCAGGGCATAAATCTGAATTAAATGCCTTTTTGAGCGGCTTCCAGCGAAAAGGAGGAGGCTCAACGGGAAAATATTTATATTCAGCACATTGTCACTTGTTGTGGCCACTTTCTCGGACTACGACTTCCACCCCGCTCATGAAATTCCTCCGGGAACCGCTGCTTAGTGGTCCGGGCAAATAAATATTAATCATTGTGTAATAATTTTCTGCTGTCAGCTAAATTCAAGCAAAGTATTCATAATCCACAAGTAAGAACCGCTTTTGACAAATCGCTTTGCGGGCCACTCGCATAAATATTTATATTTATATTTATATTCCACGTTGGACGGCAGTTAAAACGCTTTTAAAGTTGCCGAAAGTTGGGCGCCAGTTGTTGATTTGATTTTTTCGCCGCAGTTTCCGTTTGTTTTTCGCCGAGTTTCGGCAACTGTAAATCAGATTGAGATCCTTTGATGTGCTTTCAGGTCCCGAGAAACGAGATTGCAATAATCAAAATGTAATAAACAGGCCCTCACACATCCGCTTTCAACTCCTTGGGTCAAACAAAAATGTTGTTTATGCATGGGAATAGGGATGCGTATGGGTTGGGGTCCTTTGTACGTGATTGTGTAAGTGTGGTTGCTCCTCATCTTGTCCTTTGTGTGCGGCTCTCAGCATTCGATGCACGTAACGCATTGTTTGAATTTCACGGCGACTTTATGAGTTTTGTAATCAGGTTTGTGAGCAAACAGACCCCAACACACACGGACCCTCGCACTCACGTGTTAACCTGCACATAAATATTGTTTCTGGTCGTGGGCTCTCAGATGTGGGCGTGTTGACAGGCCGGGGCGACCAGGCAACCGCCCGTTAATGCTAATGAAACCCAAAGTTTTGGACCCCTCTCCACGCCTATTAAGCCATTTTGTGGTCTACAAAATCCACTTAAAACGTCTGGCGGCAACAAAATATTTTATTGCATACTTTTATGCGCAGACATTACCTGCACCGCTCCTCGCACCTCACTACTACCGATCGGTAAAAATGCTCAACAATGTGATTTATACATGCTCGCAGCATTTAAAACTAGACACACACTTTCACAATAGACTGTCCACGCCTCCGAAACGCCCCTTTTGTTGTTTGCTGGCACTTTTGGAACGTTTCCAAGGCTCAGGGCTTAGTCAGCACACGGAGAAAAATACATGTCACTTTAATTTAACTAGAGTTTTGAAATCAAACAACTGTTTTCTTACACAAAAATGTATAGAGCTTAATCTGCATGGTCTGATGCAAAGCTCCATTTAATCTTGAACAATTTATTGTTTTCTTGGTTTTTACAAAAATCTATTGAGCCTTTACAATGATTTGGACAACTATGTTTGTTTATAGTTTTATGATAAAACTCACATCATTTGTTTAATTTTCTCTCGGTGCTGTGCCATTGTCTGGGTGCCAAACAAAAGCCGCTCTGCAGTTGATGACCAGAAATTAACTAAGCAGCAATAGCAGCAACAAGGTTGCCAAGCCCGAAACAATGGGGCAGACTCGAAGACCAGCCCCAGCCCCCAAAAGCAAACAAGTAGTATTTCCAACCCCTCGGTTTGCATGTCTGGCTATTGGCTGTCCACTCCGGAGCATTAAATAAATATTTGCCATGCTCTGCAGGAATTTTGAGACGCCAAGCCTGGCTGAGAAAAAAATATTCCAAATATCATATCATCAGCATTTTTCGATAGAGTCCCCCATGGACATGGGACCATGTGGTTTCGGGGGATGGGATCGTCCAGTGTTTACCATTTATTTTTTGATTTGGGTATTTAAGGTGTGGATGGATGTGCAAAGGCGGGCGTGCGTGTCCCAAAGAGTGTTAGTATGTGTGTTTGAAGGGGTGAGTATGTGTGTGTGTGTGTGTGAGGAGGGGTGACTCCGTATGTGTGTGGTTGTTTAGGCAGCAGAGTGTTGACAACTTAAGTGGAATTTTGCTTGCTCAAGCGTCGCAAGCATTAGCTTTTCTCAAATGACATTAATATTAAATGAAGGACAGTTATTAGTCGGCATATAAAAATTCATATTCTTGATTTTATACTTTACATAAAGGAAAGGCATTTTTAGTAGAGTAAAAACTCTGATTGCGATATGTAAAATTATATTTAAAACAACACGAGTGCAAACCCAGTTAAGTCTTCTTACGGACATGATGGTCATACAATATAATAAAGCCGTACAGTTCGGACCTGATCATTGAACGCCTTACGTTGCTACCAAAGGGATTCTTTTTGGTGGTGACCGGAATGTTCTTGTGATCGCCCTTGTGAGTAAACATTAGACCATGTTCCGGATGAGCTACAACTGTGTAATTGTCGTTGTCATTCGCAAAGATCTTCCTGGTTCTCCAATCGTAGAAGACTATATCGCTTGGCTGGGGTTGCAGCATCTTTCGCTCCTCGAAAACTGCCCGCCAATCGACGGCATTAGGTCCTTTGAACCTACAGTTTCGCAGACTTGCTTCAAAGTCGATGTAGCCAGACTTGGAGAAACCGCTTCTGCCACTTATTTCCAGAAAGATAATGGTCTGCAGTGAAGGATCTCGAAATATAAGTTTATCATCGTGAGAAGAAAAGCCTTACCGATATCTCCTGCTGGACATTGACATGCTCACGTTCTGCCAAGGCCCAAAGAGCTGGATCCGCTCCTTTGAAATACTGACTATAGTATATCTGCGCGGAAACCGTTGGATTCAGCAGCTGTTCCACCTGCTTCTTTACATTCAGGAACTCGTCCTCCTCATAGAAACTGCGGTGCTCCCGATAGCCAAGTTTCGTGAGGGTTGTGACTGTTTTGTAAGAGGGCAAGTACCGAAAGTCCTCGACGGTGGTGAAGGAGTGCAGATACTCCTGGTAGTTGTCAAACTTGGCAATGCTAAAGTCAGTCATTATTGGACCATGTATTCGCACTTATTATTTAGTGTAAGTATAAAAGTTTTTTCTCTGTGAATCCCTTCCCTTCAGTAGATATATGTATGATTAAAGGGCTGAAGGCTACTATGCCTTAAATGATTCACGTTTCGAATAACTATTTCTATCCGGTCAATTAGCCCAATATCTGTGCCGAGATCGACCACAAGTTACAAACTTTAGGGTCATTCCCGGAACCAGGAATACACACCACAAAAACATATGCTAGCATTAATTTACACTTATTATTAGTTTTAACTAAAATTTTTAATTATGTACATTTCGTCTTAATTTGTTTTAATTTTGTAAATTATATAAAAACGTAACTATATAACTATCTCCTTAAACCATATATGTAGACTTCATTTTCTTCAGTGCATACATTTCATTTGCATTTTGTATACAGGCCTAGTTCGCAACGGTGGCTCCAGCACGTTTTGGCCAAAACCGCAAATATAGAAATAGTTTAAATAATCCGGATCATGAAAACGTCGATTTTGTGGAATTTTTTAATAAATTTCGGTTGAATAGAGCTCGTTGCGGCGACTTTTCATTTAGCGCATTATCCGCATACCGCAGTGGGCAAAAATATGCATTTATTCATTTATTTTATTTGTCTTTGCCACCGAGCGTATTTAAATGAGGGTTTGATGTCCGAAAAATTCCACTCGGCACAGCAAACATGTTCACTTCTTAAAATGCCCATGCCACTCACCGAATTCATGAACGGTGGATGTATTAAAACGATGCTCGACATTCCACATTTGGGATATGGAGATGCCATTGCGGTTTGTTTGGACGGAATTTTGGGGTTCACTAACCTGCGGAGCATCTATTTAAATTCATCAACACTTTCGCCATTGACGTAATTTCCGTTTCGGCACGCACACATAAACAATCGTGCAGCTGACATAACAATAACAAAAATGGCCGACGCGTGCTCAACATTTGAAAGCGAAATAATTAACTTGAATGCTAATTAGTTGAATTATCAATAGGCGGCATTGTAAGCCCGCCACGAGTATTTATTGACATTAAATCGACACGAGCACACGCACGGCCATGAACGTCAAAGGGGCGTGGCAGTCGATGTTTATGGCCCAATGGGCTTTGGCCGTGATAACTAGAATGTGCTTGGCCGCATAAATCCTCATTCAGGCGATGGGCTTTGCCGGGCATTTAAATATATCAAGTGGCAGCCCAGATACTCACTATTATTTACATGGGCCCCCATCAACAACTGCAATATCAGCAAGTTCTCGGCGTGTGTAATTTAAGGCCACGACATAAATCATCAGGACACCCGCTCAGACAATTTTGTAAAACACTCTGAGTGTCCTGGCCCTTTCTTTCCTCGGCTGACTTGGCATGTGTTGAATAAATTTATTGTTGTGCATAATGCTGCCCGAGATGGCAAGCGTAAAAAATTGCCATTATGAATATGAAGTGCATTGCGTTTAAGGAGTGCAGTCGCTCTTCCAAGATGACTGCTCACACGCGCGAGAGTGTGAATGATGGCGGCGTTTAAGGACACGTTGCGTCACCACTCGCATCCCGTAATTATGAATATTAATTGCAGGGTAACCGCCCACAGTGCCAACAGCAGGATGGAGGCGTGACCCTGTGCAGCTATGCAAATATACGCAAAACTAATGGCGCAAAAACAGAGTCTATGAATAAATCACAGAAGATTAGGTCCCAAATGATGTGAAAAGGGATAAGAACGCAAAAGTGTCCATCTCCCCGAAAGCACACGCACACGCATACACAAAAAGCACGAGAGAACCTAAACAAATAGGATCAAAAAGTATTGGCATAGAAAATATACGACCAGAGAAAACACACAGTTCATATCTGCCTAAATGCAAGTCTTCATTAAATTTGCATATGTCGATATTTTGGGTCTCGCCACATGCCCATGTGGCAGTCAAACATTGTATCTCCTGCAGAATATCTCAAAAATATATGCGAATGTCTGAACAGCTTACAAGATTTCCTATGTTGGTTGGAGGTCGTCAGTAAAATTTAAATTCCTTGTTCACTTCTGGAACCTCTTTCATAGAAAATTATTACATAAAGCATTTTACAACAAGCTATTTCTGCTACTCAAAACAAAACCATAAATTCCTAATTGAAGGACATCAAGTCGAAGTCGTATTTCATGGAATTTGGTTTACGGGTCTATTGAATTTGGTTTTCGTACTTGCAGCATTGGGCTGTCTGAATTTTCTGTAATTATTTGCCATGTGCGTCGGAGAACTTTGCCATTTTTGTGAGCGAGTGCACTTCAAAGTTTATGCGCCAAGTGTTACATGGCGTATACGTAATTTTTCATTTCGTACACTCCCAGTATGTCTGTATCTATCTCCTCCCTTTGGACTGTCATGTTCTACATGCCCCTGTGCGTGTGTGTAGTTTCGAGTGCTCTCTTTCCGTGCCCTGTTGATGTTTAGTTTTTAGACAAGCCGGCAAATATATTCGAATTTTATGCAAATTTTAATTGCTTTACTTTGCGATGAAAATTTACGACCGCAGCCGTGGCAAAAAAAAAGGAGGAGCTCGGTGAGGAGAAGAGGAATCATCTGCATAAATATTTTAGTGGTGCTAAAATAAATAATAGCCATTCTCGGTGGTTAATTCTCGACGTTGTCGGCAATTAGCCAAAAAGGAGTCAGTGGGGCAACCGGAAAAAAGACCACCGCACTCAAGGCGATTTTATAGCCCATCTCGGATTTTCCTTGGTCAGATAAAAAGCTTTGGTCGCACAAGCTCGCCAACAGACCCCAAGGACTTGCGAAAAGTTTGAAATTAATTCGCAGAAATCACTCAAAAGGATTGCCAGCATCGCAGCAACACATGTGTCCTTTTGGCCTTCCCTCCGCACAATTTCCGTCTTTTTTTGTCTCCTCCCAACATTTTGGACAGTTGACTTGCTAGACAATTGACCCAGCTGAGTTTTTATTTGATTTGCTCGAACTGACTTGAACGCTCTTTTAATGGTCTTCTAATGGTCGACCATGACATTTTTATCGTTCTTAACTGTCCAAGCAGTTTGTTAATTTATTTCATGAGCTAAGGCATTTGGCTCTTGATTTATATTTTAAACGAGTATTTACACATGCTTTTCTTCGAAAAAGTTGTTCCATGCATTCTTTTTAATTATTTAAGAAATAACAAAAAAACACATTTAATGCATAATGTCTATGATTCAAATATTGTCGCTTAAAAAATAATGACTACCACGAGTCCGTCAAGTAAATGAAAGTATAAAACGACATTAATAACCAGAAAAATGTTGCCAACCAATTACAAATTATTATTGGCTTTTTGCTTTATTCTACATCTTCTTTTGTGTGTATATTTTTATTGGACAAAAACAAATACGGATTATTTTCGGTCTCTGCATATTACACATTTTGTTATTCAATTTAATATCGTTTTAATCTTTTACGACCCCCAATATTGAAATAACATATTGGGCTGGGGTCCTAAGTCTGTGCCTTTGGGGCGTTTGCCTGCAGTTGTTACTTTTTACGAGCATCAATTTCTGCCACATTGACATAAATGTGCATAATAACCAAAATGCTTTTTACATTTCCGTTGCAAAGGAAGTCATAAATAAGCCAAACGCTGACGGGGCAGTCGAACCCGGCATCTTCTTTGTCCGGCTCTCTCCGGAAAGGGGCGTGTCCCCGCCCATTTTTCTGCTGCATCTGCGTCGCCACAATGGGCGCAAATCAAGTTATTACGGCCCATGGCTGGACTTTGCGACTGCGTCACATATGGCGAGCATAAATAGCCCGGCACTTTGCACCCATCCGCCCCGTTGGCCGGCTGACTGGCTGACTGGGTGACTGGCTACAAACTTTCTTTATGCGCTTTCCATGAACATTTCGTGGCAGGTTTATGTATTTAATGGACTTTGCACAACTTTCTTTTGCTTTTTGTTCGCCCCTTTCTTTTTGGCAATTGCCCGCGCGTCTGCATCGCAAGTTGGAAGGCTCGGGCGCATTATGTCCATTGGCAAAGTTCTGTGACGCCAGCATTTATAACCGCTCCAGCGTCCATTTTGATTATTAGCCAGAGACACAAACACAATGCGTGGGATTTTATGTTCAATTATTTTGGTCGCCTGCGCACCATATTCGCTTTATTTGCGGCGCCACCCAGTCCATCCATAAATTGTTCAAAGTGCACTTTATAGACTGGCGGGATCAAATGTCAATCAAAATACAAAAATTAATTATAAGTTCGATGGTAAATATGGGTATGGAAAAATGCATATTATTAAAATCTGTTGCAAAATAAATATACTTTCTTTTCGGTAATTATAATAATAATAAACATACTCAATATTTAATTATTATTTCAGTCACAAATGTATTTTCCTTCAAACTTTTTATTTGAATTAAGTTTTTTTGATGTTGCTGCTTCAGGCTTTAAATCTAACTGGCACTGAAAGCCTTTTACCTTGAACCTTGGCATTTCGCGCCGCTTGGCTCACCTTGAACTTTTCGCAGAAAAGTGAAAAGAGATAGCCAAAAGCGCACTTTTGTTCGCGTGTTTTCAAAACCTCTTTTCAAAGAGTTCAAAAGTAAAAGCAAACATAAGCAAACAAACATGATAAGCTCTCAGCTTCCAATGCATATGAAAAATAACTCTCGAAGACTCTCACTAAATCCTGAATTAATCTCAGCTGCTTTTTAACCTGTTCGGGTAGTTGCAAATCTCTTTCCTTTTGCGATGTTTATATCCAGCTTTTACATTTGTATTCATACATTTTCCAATTTCAGAGAAGGCATTGGACTTGGCAAAGCGCCTGCACCAAATAGACGTCGTGAGGCAGCAAAAGCCAACACATAGGATGGCATTTTGCTGTCGCCTTTTACCGACGGCGACATTATTAAAATGTTGTCAGGCATTCCAAACAAGTCAGCTTGCAGTCGCAGTATATTTCATATTTGCAGCCACACAAGCCTTACTTATATGTTGCATGTTGCGACAGCAACACGATACGCAATAAGAGGCAAAACAAGCTGCAAT